TCAGTTTCTGTTCTACTGTAATACTGTAATCCAAACAAGAGATGATATAGATTGTGATAGAGGTGGTAAGTAGCTGGATTCTGGATATATTTTGAAGCCAACAGATTATTTGCAAAATGGATATGGGACATAAGAGAAAAAGAGCAATTAAAGATGAGTTTGGTTGGACAAAGATACAGCCATTTACTGAAATGACAACGACTGTGGGTGTGGCCGAAAGAGAAGGTTTGAGGGTTTGATGTCCGGAAGAACATTTTAGAGAGATTTCTGTTGATTTAGTCCTGTCTTATGTGCTAATGTAAAGATAGATAGAATATAATTTATAACATTAATTTAAAGAACCTGTTCTAAATATGAACCTAGAGCAACTGAAGAACTGTGAAAAACTTTCCCTAAAAGTATTTATGGACCAGGAAACATACCTGCGTTCTGATCCTAGCTTTACACCAAACAAAAGGATTTTAAGCAAGTCATTTAACTTTGTTGTATCTATTTTCTAATTGATGAAAATTAGGAAAATGAAGAATTGGACTAGGTGACCTCTTGTAGTCTCTGCCTGGATTCAAATCCCAGCTGTCTGTTTCTATAAAATGGGAATAACAATAGTGCCTACCTCATAGCTTATTATGAGGATCAAATGAATATATATGTGTAAAACACCGAGAACAATGCCTGACACATTGTTAATATTAGTATTATCTCTTCAAGCTGGAATCTTTAGGCATCAAATTTTTGCTATCTGTTCATGGGTTGTGTGGGATAGAAGGGTAAAACTGGGTTGTTAATAAAAGTAGGGAACTAAGGTTAAAGCAAAGCATGTTTACATTTATAGAAGTTATGCGAAAAATAGTATTGCTTACATGAGTCAACATCATTGAACTAAATAGCACCCTTCCAGAGGTTGGTTTATGTATTCATATATATGAATAAGAACCTCGAAATACATTGAATTCAGGGAATACTACAAAACATACACATTTCTATACATATAAGAGCACTGAAAACGTCCAATCCCGAATGAAATCTCAAAATGCAACATCATTGCAAATAAGAATATTGTCATAGTGTTGAAATACATACTCTTTCCAAGATAAGAGGAACGCTTTCACTCTCTTCATTTTACTATAAATTAATACTTAGTTATGAAAAAGGCAATGCACATGCTAAAATGAAATTGAAGAATGCTAGAGTTTTGATGTTTAAAAACACACGCTTGTAATTAAAATAATCTTTAATTTTAGATTCTTATGCCGATTTCTTCCTCAAGCTTCTTATGCTCTATTCTTTTCACAAAGAAAGTAATATCTGTTTCTTTTCGATTAAATTTTTCAAGCATTCAGAAGGTGAATAAATTGGAACGTCCTAGTGTACTTCCTGCCTCGCCCCCCTTTATTGATAAAAGAGAACACACAGTACTTTTGCTTAGGGATCTTCAAACTGAAACTCAGCTAGGCGCCCAAGGGCTTCTTTGGGTTTCAAAGCTGGATTTTTGAGTGTTGCTACCTAATGGTCCGACACGCTTTTTACTTTCTCCACTCCCAATCTCTTTCTAGTGGACGTGCATTAGAGCCGCTAGCGCCTAATACAAATAAAGTAAAATGTAAAGCAGTCAGAAGGATGCAGGGAGCGAAACCGCCGGTCTCCGGCAAATCGCAGGCGCGCGGCGCCGTGACCCAAGGGCGGAGCGAAGAGAAAGAAACAGGGCGGGGAGGCGCCGCAGCGAGCTCGCGAGTGCGCCGTGCGGCTTCCGCCCCGCCGGCCCCGCCCCCGAGACGCGCCGGGCGGTCACGTGACGGCCGCGCGCGTTCCCGGCCGCTGCGGGCTCCGAGGCCGAAGAGAAAAAAGACAGCGAGGTGGCCGCGGCTGTGGCCGTAGAGGTGGGAGTCGGGGCGAAGCCCTCGCGGGGGGCAGGGTGAAGGCTGGCCACTCCGGTATCCTAACTCGGGGAGAGGAGGCCCAGATGGCCGTGTCACCTCCAGTCGCGACGCGCTCCGGGTCGGCCCTGCGCTTGGGGCCTGAGAGGGGCGGCGGCGGGGTCAGGGGCCGGTACGTAGATGGACGCCCTTGGGCTGGCGCGGCTCCGGCTGTCCGCGCGGAGGCGGGATGGGACAGCTCAGCCCTTTCCGCCGCCCCCGCCTTGGCTGCTGTCGCAGGCAAGAAGACTGTGACGGCCTCTGCGTTGCCGGCGGGTGCCGCAGCCCCTGCCCAGGGCGACGGCCGGAGCTTGGCTCGGTCCGGGCGCTAGAGGCGGAGCAGCGGCCATTACTGCGCAGCCTCTTCCGCCGGGTCCGCGTCGCTGCCCTTGGTGGCAGGCGGGTCCCTCTCCTTCCCCTCGGCGGTGGTGTCAGGCCTGTGCCCAGGGACCTTCTGGCCTCAAGGTTTAGGGGCGGCGGCGACTTGGGGCGTAAGCTGCTCCCTGTTTTCTGTTAGAGCCAAACACTTTGGGCCTTGGGTCAGAGCGAAGCTAGGGCGTACAGTCTACATGTTGTCTTTTCCCGGACTGCCTTTGCCTGCTTCTTTCTCTTTTCTCCTTCCTTCTGCTCAGTGCCAGGGTCTTGCCTAATACGAAGTAGAGCAATCCCTTCACCCTGTCCTGGTGAAACCCAGTGCTGCATATTCCTGCTTGTTTTGACGGCTGTTGAGCTTCGGCACAGTTAGATCTCTTGGAATATCCGTTGAGCCTCCCCAACCTCCGTGCGCCTTAAAAGCCCAGGCTGTTGCTTTGTTCTGGTTGCTGGGTGCAGAGTTCTCTTCTTACCCTCCATCCCGTCTTAAAGAATGCCGGTCTTCCATTGTTGTCGCTGCTTATTTTCTGAAGGCTCTTAGAGAAAGTCTGTAATATTGTTTTTGAGAGGGTGGTGATGGAACCGTTCTCTCCATAGGTAAAATCTGCAGGACTGTAAGTTTGCACACACGTTCTGGCAACTAGATTTTTTTCTTGTTATTCATTTTGGTGTATGTTTTTATTTAAGTGCCATTTTAGTGAGCATTTATTTCTCAAGTTTTGAACATTTTGTTTTTTAAATAGTTTTGTAATATTGAAACTGTATAACTGAGGTGAGAAGAAAGCCAAGAGATGATAGAAAACGCTTTGTTCTTTGTATGATTGACATTTCAGGTACTGGGCTTATCTCCCCCCCCCCCATTTATACTTTTCAAATGGGATGTGAACTTGTAATATTGGTATTGAAGTGGTATATAATCACACAATTTGGAAGACCTAGGACATTTTAGTAAATGAATCTATGTTTAGACTTTTAAAAGACGTGGCATATAAGGACACATGAATATAACACGATCCACACAAATAACTGAGATGTTGGCTTTGCTGTTTTTATTTACTAGCAAATATTTTTTGTGTTAAGTGTCTGGGTGCTCTAAAAAACACATGAAAATAGGTCAAGTAATCTCATTTTAAAGAGAAGGCCAGATGAGTGAATGCCACTCTAAAAATAGAATTTTGGATGTGTTTGTTTTGGCTTTGTATATCTTAAGGTGGAGGATTTTGTTAAGCCCAGTGTTTGATTGATAATTTATGTCTCAAATGGGCCAGTGTAGGTTGTGGGCAGAATGAAAATACATTTGAAGGTTTTTGTTTGTTGCTAGTTGTTTAGAACTGGGTGGAATTATAGTCATCAGGAAAACTTTTTCCAAATAGCCGGCCATTGGTATGGCAAAGAAAAAAAGAAATAACCTTTTTTTAGGAGACATGTCAACTGGTACAGTGTTTTGTTTCAGTTTCCACCTACTTGAATTGTCAGAAGGAGCAGACTTTTTTTTTTAAGAATCCAAAATGATATTTTGACTTAGAAGAAAAAAATAATCTTTTCACATTGATCTGCTTAAAGAATATTGTTTTATGTATTAGCTATCTAATAGCATGAAGTGCCTGACAACACTGTCAGGAATTTTAATGCTTATTTTTCTCTAGTCTTAGAAGGTGCTACAAGCTTTTTCCATTCTCTTGCTTGATTGCCTGTGCCCAAGGAATCTAAATTTATGAAACAACAGTCTGGATTAGGAACAATCTTTGTAGGTATGGAAACCAATTTATTAACACTTGGCTACAACCACCTGTGCTTACTTATGGACTCTTTAATTTTCATGGCCTATTACCTTTTGGGTTAATTAAAACTGAAAATGTTGTTAAATTAATGTTAATTAAAGCACTTAGAGCTTAGAATTACAGAATTATAGAGTAGGGTGAAATGACAAAGACGTGGGAGTTATGACTTGACTAAGGTCACACAGATAATTGGCAAAAGAGCCTCTCTTATTTACAAAATGGTTGCTGGCCATGAAACTTGTAAGTTTGATATGATTAAAAGACAGTATTAGTTTATATTTACAACTCCTGGGGTTTATTTAAATAAAATGCAAAGCTCACATTTTTAAATTTTTTTAGGGGAAATTTACAGGTTTAATCCTTAAGTATGAAGATTGTAAAGTCAGTAAATAAATTACTATACAGTAATTGTTTTTTAAGGGAAGTGATATGGAATAAGGGAAGTAATTCTTTAAAATATAGTAGAATATTGAACCCCATTTAGTTGAAATGAATTTTGACTGAAGACTTGTTTCCAAGTATAACCTATGCTTTTTGTTAGCTGATTTTTAATAGGGGATGATGAAGGCTAAAAATGGAAACATTAGTACATTTAGTTAAATCCCTCAATTTGGGACTCTTTTTTAAGAAATATTAAGATGTATCTGATAAATGCTAAATCACACCTGTGCTCTCTACTCCTTTTCTGGTCTTTATCATTTTTCTGTTGTTGTTTTGAGTTCTACACCAAAAGTTGGAATGTTTGAAGTATTTTTTTTCTGTCACTGAGAGGTTTTATATAGAACATTTTCTGTTTTGTGTATTTTTAATAAAGGGTAAAAACTATTAAACAGCTGTTAATTGAAAAAAAACAGGAACTCTTCAAATATTTACAATTTGACATTTATGTTTTATTTTTTATTTATATGTATTTTATATTGATGTTACATGCACACCTTTTTCTTTGATTAAAGGTAACTATTTGGATCTGAAAAAAGTTGACCTTTTTGAGCTTGTAACTGACTTGAAAAGTGGAAGCATGAATTTGTTGAGTGGTCACAAATTATAAATAGTACAAATTTACTTCACTTTTAATTAGATTTATTTTGTATTTACTTGGTTGAGTGAGTAAAGCCTTAAATTCACTGATAATCTCTAAACTCCTTCATATATTTTTACATTTTACCTGTCACTTTTTTTCCCCTCCAGAATTATTAAGGAGCAAGGTATCTAATTTAGTTTCAGATCTTTTCTCTTTTTATGTTATCTTATTGGTAGAACATCATATTGAGTTTGGTGTATAACCTACAAGTCATTTATTGTAGCAGGGATTGTGTATGTTTGAATTATTTATGTTCGCCAAATTAATTCTGGCCTGTAGTTAAAATTATACTGCTGTATCTTAAATTTTCCTTTTAGCTAAAATAAAAGCATCCCTTCTCACCTCACTCTTTAGAAATCTTTGGTTTCAAATCATATAGAAGTGTTTTTAGGTCTTCTTCACATTACTGTTCTGAGTATCTCATGTGTGCTCTATTTTGTGCCCAATTGACATTATAGTTGATGTTTAAACAGCTCAGGGTTGAACTGTTTGGGTCCGTTTATACAAGGATTTTTTTCTGCACATGCCACCCCTGAGACAAGACCAGCCCCTCCTCTTGTTCCTTCTCCTGAGCCTACTCAACATGAAGACCCTGCAGATGAAGGCCTTTATGGTGATCCACTTCCACTTAATGAATAGTAAATATATCTTGTCTTCCTTATGTTTTTCATAATAACATTTTCTTTTTTCTTGCTTACTTTATCGTAAGAGTACAGTGTATAATATGTGTAACATACAAAATGTGTGTTAATCAACTGTTTATGTTATATATCTATCAGTAAGGCTTCCCATCAACAGTAGGCTATTAGTAATAAAGTTTTGGGGTAGACAAATCTTACACATGAATTTTCAGCTGTGCAGGAAGTAGACACTGCTAACCTCCCAACTTTGTTCAAGGATCAACTTGTATAATTCTCAGAGGTTATGGTTGATGGGTCAGCTTGGCAAAATTGGGCATACATAAACCTGTAATTTTGATTATAACAGAATATGCAATTTTCTTTTTTATATATATATTTAGTAAAGGTCTGGGTAAATTAACATGGTGTTCATTTTCTCTATTCAACAATACCTGTAGTAATTTATTAGTTTTGTATTAAAAAAAGATGAATATATAAGACATTCTAGACCTGCATTGTCCAGTGGAGTAGCCACTAGTCACATGGAGCTCTTAGGCACTTGATATGTTGCCAGTTTCAATTTAATTGTGATATAAGCATAAAATACACACTGGATTTCAAACAGTATACACACAAGAATGTAAAATATCACATTGTTTATATTGAATACACATTGAAGTGGTACTATTGTAGATACATTGAGTTAAATAAAATATTGAAATTAATTTTACCTTTATTATTATTATTTTGAGACAGAGTCTCACTCTGTTGCCTGGGCATCAGCCTAGCTCACAGCAACCTCAAACTCTTGGGTTCAAGCAATCCTTCTGCCTCAGCTTCCCGAGTAGCTGGAACTACAGGCATGTGCCACCATGCCCGGCTAATTTTTTTTTCTATATATTTTTAGTTGTCCAGGTAATTTCTTTCTATTGTTTTTTTAGTACAGACGGGGTCTCACTCTTGCTCAGGCTAGTCTAGAACTCCTGAGCTCAAATGATCCACCGGCCTCGGCCTCCCAGACAGCTAGGATTACAGGTGTGAGCCACCTTGCCCGGCCTACCTTTATTATTCTTAATGTGGTTAATAGAAAATTTGAAATATGTGGCTTGAATCATATTTCTGTTAGATAATGCTTTTCTAGACCTTTTCCCTGAGAGATAATACATTGTAGAAAGGATTTTTTAAAGATATACCCGAGTTTGAATCCCATTTCCCAATGTTCATACCTTTGTGACTTTGGTAAGTTATTTAACAACTTCAGTACAGCGCTCACCGGCTGCAAAACCTTGCCCACAGCTGGCACTCATAGTCCGCTCGATAGTCTGTGCTGTGCATAGACGATGAATCTGTTTTGCTCTTGTGTGATGAGGAAAGCTTTAAAGCACTGAAAGCTTGTTTTACTTTATAGGCAGCTTTAGGAAAATAACTATAACAACTCCTACTAAGGACTTATTAAAAGGTCACAGATTCGTAGTAACTTATTAGCTGAATTTACACACTGCAATTGCAGAAATTAAAGCTGTAAAAGTGAAAGCTTTTGGCTGTTGACTAAAGTCGATGCTCTGCTGTGCGTGTTGATCTGGGGCTATTGACTATAGTCCACGCTTGTACCAAAGTGGTTAACTTTCTGAGCTTGAGTTTTCTTATTTGTTAACTGGGAAATTTCACAGGGTTGTTTTGAAGATTCAGTGATATAAGGGGTTTGATAGTGCTTCACTAACTTTAATATACACATGAATCACCTGGATATCTGATTCTGTAGGTCTAGGGTGGAGCTTTAGATTTTCATTTGTGAGGAACTCCTAGGTAATGCTGATACTGCTGGTTGGGGACCACAGTTTGTTTGCATAGCTAGGACCTAGATTCCTATAAGTTCTAGTCCATTTTCCTTCCCCAACCTTTATTATCCATTTAGTCTCTGCTTTGAAAATTACCCATGGAGTATAGAAATCGAAAAAGTCACCATAGCTTGCAAGATTTACTAAAATTGTATGTATTGTGCCCTCTTAGGGATACTGCAGGATTCCTGTTTACACTAGACTCTAAAGTTTTTTGTCTGCTTTTAGCTGGAGTTACTTTTTTGGCAGGGTGGTATTGCTAAATCTTGATCTAGAAGAGCCAAATTATGTTTTTTTACAAATGTATTTTTGAGAGATAATACATAATCAAAAGTGAAATAATTTTAAGAATGTTCTAAGATAATAGGATAGTACAGTTGATCCTTGAACAATGCATGGAGTTAGGAGTGCCAACCCCCCCCCCCAGTACAAAATCTGAGTATAAGTGTTGTTTGTTTGTTTGTTTTTTACTTCGAGATAGGATCTCACCCTGTCATCACCCAGGCTGGAATGCAGTGGCACAGTCATAGCTCACTATAATCTTGAACTCCTGGAGTTCAATCTGATCTAAGGTGGGAGTTTTCTCCCACCTAATCCTCCTACCATAGCCACCTGAGTAGCTAATGAGTAGCTGGGACTATAGGCGCACACCACCATGCCTGGTTTAAAATTTTTCTTATTTTTTGTAAAGATGGTTCACTGTGTTGTCCAGGCTGGTCTTGAATCCCTGGCCTCAGGCAATCCTCTGGCCTGGGCCTCCCAGAGTGATGGAATTACAGGCGTGAGCCCTGCCAGAGTATAAATTTTGACTCCCTCAGAGCTTAAGTAGTCTTACCGATGTTTAGTCAATTAACACAGATTAGGTATGTTATATGTGTTATATACTTACAATGAAGTAAGCTAGATAAAATATTAGAAAATCATAAGGAAGAAAAACATTTACAGTACTATATTTATCCATCCCGTAAATTTACATCATTTGATTATAAGATGAATCATCTGTCTGAAATGGTAGGTAACTGCAGCTCTAGACCTCAGTGTATGGTACATATCAAGCAATTCATCTTTTTCTTGAAATGTCATGACTTTTCTGTGCTTCTGGGGAGCGCTTCCAGCATCACTAGTGGCACTTCATATAGGTCCCATGGTGTTATCCAAGGTTTACACTAAACATGATGAAACATACTGAAGAACCTTGAGAGATCACTTTTTACTGGTATGCATAATTTATTGGAGAGAGGAGAGAGAAACTGCTTATGTGGAGATGATTGTCACATGGCATTTTAAACAAATTCACAGTAGTTGAGCTCACCACAATAGCAACAGGACATGGCTATGAAATTACAGTAGTACAATATGTACTATAGTTATTTGATGCGGTTATGATTTAATACTGCATCTTTACATTTGTTTACATTTCTCTCAACTGCTAGAGGTACCCTTTGCAGCCTGTGTTTGCATAAATTTTAACTTTTTATAGCTTGGTATATTTTATGGTAGTAATAGACTAGTGTCTTCATATATTTTATGCATTCATGGCATAACTTTTTCTTATTTATTTATTTTTTGGATAATTCTAGGCTATACAGTTTGTGAGTTTTTCAAATTGTCACAAATCTTCAAAAAATTTTTCAGTGTACTTATTGAAAAAAATTCATATATGTAGGTAAACCTGCACAAGCCATATTCAAGGATCAGCTGTACGAGACTATTTTATTGTTAAAGATCTTTGGAAGGAGAAATGAAATCATGAAGATTTTGAAAATTAGAGGAAGGCATTTCTATGAGAGTCCTAGAAATTACCGTAGACTAGAAAAATTGAAGAAATATCAGGCTAAAATAAATATTGTGGTTTTTTTAAAGGGCACTAATTAATATAAGGAAAGGTCCTACTGGAATGTGGATATGGTCACTGATACAACCTTTACTGCTAAACATAGCTGGACTAGAGGGGTGTGATGAGGATAAGGGTATTCTTTGTATTGAAGGAAAATGTTCATGTTGAAGGAAAGTATCTTTGTTCATTGATGCTTGGCTGTTATTTGAGTACTACTGGCTAAATAGGTCCCTGTTCCATGGTTTATGTGTGCTTTTTTAAAAAATGTGTGCTTTTTAAAGGTATTTTTCAAGTTGTTATGCTATTTTATTGATAAATTACTTGAATTCAGTTATTAGTCTTCAAGTAAGGGAAGCAAAATGAGAAAACTGCATCCCCTTGGATTAATTACAATATTTTTTTGCCACCTTTTTTCTCCTAGTGTATATGTAACAAAAGTTTTACATTAATATTTGTGGCTATAGCTTTATTTTAACTATGTGAAATAGTTTTATTAAAAAGTTTACAACTTATTTAGGTGCCCAAATAAGGGTTTTTTTAAAAGAGGATTTTTGTGCATTATTTTGAAGCTACTTTGCTTCAGCTAACTTAGATTTCTTTAAGCATCAACTTTTGTTTCAGAGATAAAATATTTATGGATAATACCTGAATAAAGTAAGTAAATAGAGAAGAGATGAGGTATGTTAAAAGAGAGAATATGTAAATAAATGTAAGAGAGAAAGAGGATTAGAAATAAGAACAGGTATTTCTGTGTATTTCATAAAAGTAAAACAGTACTTTCTATACATCTGAATTACTGAAGTATAAACTGATCAAGATTTTTAAGAAATGTAATTAAATCTTTCTGACTAGAGGTTTTAACATTAAATCAAATATGTCCTAGAAGTAAGAGATTAAAATGGTAGATTGATATGTCTTAAAATACTTGTAAGCTAGTGAACAACATTCTACTTACCAGTAGCAACACCTAGCAGGAGTTTGTGGACTCAAAAACTCCATCTTAGAATTGTGGGTAAAGTAAGAGTAAATTGACTAGAATAATGGTCCAGAAACCTTTGTGATAGTTAAAGGGTAGAGTGTCTCCATATTTTCCAAACTGTAACATGTTGAGAAAGGGGCAAACTAGACAGCTTCTGGGCTGTCTTACATGGTCATCGTAGTGAAGAATATTAACCTTTATTTTGGCATGAGCTTTGTAAATCTGTTTTGGCTGTCTAGAAACCCATTTTAGTTTGTGCTTGGATTTTTATCTGCATTCGGGAAAATTTGTTGCCACTGAACAATAGTTGGGTAAATGATGTGCTTGCCAAAAGATACAAAGATGGCCTGAATCTTAAATTTGT